GAGCGCCAGGTTACAGAGGGGAGCTGCTAGACGCGCGTGCCCAACTGCCTCATAAAGTGACGGTGGCGACAAAAAAAAATTGGGGCCCCTATGAGGTGCTTAGCTAGGGCGCTGTCTTAACTTTAAACTGTCAAACACCGCGAGTACACCGGTGACCGCAACCTATTGTTCTTTAATTGTGTCTATCTATAATGACGGTACCCAAAGAGTTAATCCGCTTCTATATAGGACTCAAAAGATTACAGGCAATATACAATGTAACGGTGAAGGAAAACATCGTGAGGAAACCTGGGCTTACAATTTCTAATTATAAGTTTGTAATCGCCAACTCGCATTGAGCAAGCATCGTGAATAAAGCTCAAACTTTTTCCGTGTGAGATGAGGCCTTTGGTCTGCAGTGGGCATTAATAGGCTGTTGATGCAATGTAAAACCCACTTTTCACTATTTTATGGAGTCCCATGTAATAGGGGGCGAGCCTATTACCATATACCGGGCACAATGCCAGACTATCATGGCCATTTTCACAAACTACCCCTAAACCATCTCTTAACTAAGAGTTACTTAGACAACCTAAACTAACCCCTTACTTGTATTGTTAGCTGTCACTTATAGGTTAGTGGAAATCAAAATGTTGCTAAGTGTCTCCTGATTTCGCTTAGGGGTTAATTAAAAGGAGAGTTTTGATGAAAACAGGTTTTAAACTATCACTGATAATTGGGTAGTTGCCAGGGTATCAAAATTGAAAATCTAATTAGTCCGTCAGTTAGATAATGAAAAAATATTAGACACGTATTTTTTAATTTTCTCGGATCAAGTTGCTATATTTAGATAAAATGGCGCTAAGTTTAGGAGTGGGAGGTCGTTACGTCATAACGTGCTACAAAATATGGCACGCTGTGACGTAACACGATATTTTAAATTAATATATCGCCGAAAGTATTTAATTTTGTGAGAAAAGAAAAAATACTTGTCTAAAGTTTTAAATTGATGTACCAGACGGGCATTAAAATAAAATTTAAGAAACTACCCTATTTTGAAAGCTCCATAACATCTTAACTTAGGAATCGAATCTAACACGCTTAGGTAAACAGTCATACTACAAACATAAAATATATTACGATATATACAGAATACAATACACAATATATAACAGTTTCAATATATATATATATAATTTCAAAATACAGAATCTATTACTTAACGTTTAAACTATCGGAGTGCATGCATTCATTTAAATAGTTTTTAACATACAACTGTCATATCATACATTATAATTGCATATATTCACTATAACACCGAATTTTAACAGGTTAAGCTACTCTAGCCGAGGTTGATTTCTGGATGGGTGACATTTTTTTACCGAGTGAAGAGACCTGTGAAGTGTCTACGCGAGAGACAAATTGTGTCTCATATATCGACAAACAAGAGCTTAATTCTCGCCATATTTTTTTTATTTTTTTTTACCGACGAGCATGCATTAAAAGATTGATGACTGTGGATGAAGCGAGTGCTTAGTCAATAAGAGTCTGACACTGCCTCCCGCCTCACCCAGGCGGGAGAAATCATAGTATGATTATCCCCCCCTTTATAAAGGAAGCTATAAGGTGTAAGGAACGACCACCCATCTAAAAACGCACCTCGTCAAGCAACTATCAAGATGTATAGTAAATATATGAAACTATAAACACATCGGAAATTAATAAAAAAATAAGGAACATGTTTCGTTTGCACAACACAAAAAAATATTATTTGACATGAATACTTTGTCGTTGTAAGGCGTGTACAGTTGCTGGGCTTCAATCCCAATGTTGGACAAACGATAATATCATGTATTAAAGTTAATTTTATTATAAAAATAATTTTCCACTTTGCCCAGCATTGGACAAAAATTATTGGACAAAAAATAAAAACTGGTTTAAGGTAAAATGGGTCATAAAACGCCAAGTCCAATAGTGGCCTTAAAGCCCAGCAGTCCGTAAGCGGTACAACGACCACAATCTTACATAACAATACAAACAACGATTTCTTAACGAAAAATCACGAAGAACTTAACCACAGCAATGATATTGTTTAAAAGTAAATTATTATTATTTATTTAATAGTAGTCTAGTAATAATCATAATAATAAAAAAAAACAAGAAATAGTATGACTAGCCAAATATTAACAATTTTATTTAAAAAGGTGTAATATTAAAAACCGGTATATGGAAATAGACTTAAGCCTTTTTTTTTAATTGGGACAAGCCCGCCACAACCCCCCAAAACCGCTGCAACTCCTGTAAGCCAGGATCTACAGTAGATACAACTATGAACACACCGGAACATTGAAGTGTCTCAGGGACATGAGTAACTGTCTTGGTTCCCGCAACGAAGTGAATCAGAAGATATTATAAGAGGAGAAGAAAAAACCTTAAGCCTGTCACAATTCTCAATTTACAACAAGATTCTTTTTATAGGATAAGCCGGTAAACGAGCAGACGGATCACCTGATGGTAAGCTATCGGCCGCCCATAGACACCTGGAACACGAGACGTTACATGTGCGCTGCCGACCTTTTGGGAGTTAGGTAATTTAGAGATTGGGGAGAGGAGCACTCGGAGAAACACAACGCAAGCGTTGTTTCACACCGGTATGCTATGAAGCCGTGATATCACTTCGGTCGAGCCGACCCATTCGTGCCAAAGCGTGGCGAGTCCACGTGATTTTTATAATATATCATTTAATGCCTCCTTTTATTCAACCGCCGTACTCTATTGAATGGCTACTCAACCCAGTCCTTAGCAATTGTTCTAGGAACAAAACGTTACTAAAGAAAAGTTTAAGTATCATTAAATGTTGAATTAAACATAGAAAGAAAAGAATTAAGAAAGAAAAACAGTTTATTTGCACCGTTACAGTAATTAAATAACAAGAAAAATAGAACAATATACACGGTGCAAAAATAACTAGTACAGCTTTAATAACTAGTTCTTCCTCATGAGCAGCGTGCGCGGTCGCGGCAAGCGACGCGCAGCTTACTTACTTGCGTAGCTCGTAATTTTTAGTTAAATTTAGCATTTTTTTAATGGGACAAGCCCACCACTACCTCCCAAAACGCTGCAACTCCTGTAAGCCAGGATCTACAGTAGAAATAACCACAAAAACATCGGAACACTGAAGTCCGGCGCGTCGCAAGGACATGAATAACTTGTCTTGGTTCCCGCAACGAAGTGAATCAGACGATATTATAAGAGGAGAAAAAAACGACAGTTTCCTCTTCCCTCGGTGAATTACTGCAGGAGACAGAGTGAATTAAGCCTAAAGGCACAAAAAAGAGACTGTACAACTGGGTGAAGCCCAGTCGCTAAGCACCACGGAAATTTGACTGAAATCTAAGTGGGTCCTATGTGTGAGCTGTTATACTTGCTTTCAATAATATTATGGCAAAAACGCCTAAACAAAGTTATTAAATTCAGCATGTATCACAATAGTTATTATAAAAACTATCAATAAACGTACTGTAACTTACAGTAGGTTTAATGATATCATACTGTAACTTACAGTAGGTTTAATGATTGTTTTTATAATAACTATTGTGAGACATGCTGAATTTTATAACTTTGTAACACTTCTCTGCATCACCCTATGGTTGGCTGGTAGAGAATGCCGTCCGGCATTAAGCCCACCATTGTATACACATTCGTACATAAAGTGTTAAAATAAATAAAAAAAAATCAACACGACGGTTAGAGGCATATTTCTATGATTTTGCATATGAGTCCCATGTAATAGAGATAGTCTATTGCCATATACCGGCCATATATCTTTAGACATTACACCAATGTAGATATTTCTAATATTTAACAAGTCAACTATGAAATACAGAAGATGCTAGAATATTAATGAAGGGTTTAGCAAGAGATTAAAATAATTGGATCAAATATCAATTTTCGGAGACGTTTATTGGAAATTAATCATAGATTTTGGCCAAAATCGATGTGAAATGTATGTAAACTAAGCATAATTGTAGAACTACGTGTGTGTAATCAATAAAGGAACATTGTTCTGAATAACATCTCTTGAAAAACGACTTGCATTAACAAAAAAGTATCTTACATTAAAATTAATTAAAAAAATACTAATTTAAACAATAACGTATGTATGAATTTTGAAATTGTGATATTTTTAAAACGATTCTGAGCTAAACTAATATAATTATTTTATAATAATAATAATATTATAATAGTAAATTTTATTTAATTTTAAGATTATAACACGATCGCTTCTACATGTACTGTGAATTATTTTAATTTCTCTAATATTGCTTTTCGTCGAGGTCGTCCGTTTCATTTCGAGATGAAACGGGGGTCGATAGTTTACGAGTGAAATGAAAAAATGCATCTTTTCTCTAAAAGTTATACTTAAATATTTTACTACAAGTATTATTATTTATATATACATATATAAATGTCTATATAAATTCACAATACACATAAAAACTAATATTACAGGTAACAGCGATTCAGTAAAGGGTAGAATTTAATTTTAACAAAATGTATTTAAATAAAAATGAATGTCTGTTCGTTAATCTCGCTAAAACTCGAGAACGGCTGAACCGATGCTAATTTTAGTATTGAAATGTGCGAGGAAGTCCAGGGAAGGTTTAAATGGTTAGAAAGAAAAATAGAGGCGGTACCAACTTTGCCGGGCAGCTAATTATATAATAAATATTATTGTAAATGTATGTTTGTCCTTCTGGATATGGCAGACTTCGGGTCCCACCCGTAACAACTCCTTGTGTGATCCACACATAGTTGTTCAGTGTCAGGTCTGCAAATTTTTAAACAAACAGAGTAACAATGGAGGTTCTTGCTCGCTCTTCTCCATACGAATCTACATTTTCACCTTTATTTCGTACTGACGGCCTGAAATATGTTTCTATATGTGACGTACGTCTATGTCTATCTCCCTCTACTGTATATCGCTGTCCCTGCCCTACCTCTAGAGCTCTAGTACTGAGTTATGACGTCATCATGTCGCTGACGTTCCCACCGCTTACTCCGGCCGCGCCCTTTAGTAAGTCGTTGATGTCGCGACGGAACATTGACAGGTTTTGGGTGAATCTGCAATGAAAAGGTATTAGGTAATCATTTGTGTAACTATATAGAAAAAATTATGCTTTCTGAAGAAGTAAATCAGGGTCAAAACGGCTGAATGGATTAGGATGTAATTTGGAATACTTTATTTATCATCATCATCATCATAACATCATGCCTTTTATCCCCGAAGGGATAGGCAGAGGTGCCAATTATTCCACTGTACAATGTAACACCCACTATTTATGTTACGAGTCCCATGTAATAGGGGGTGAGCCTATTGCCATATACCGGGCACAATTCCGGACAGAATTTTAAAAACCCAGTTATACTTCGCCCGACCCGGGAATCGAACCCGAGACCCCTTGCCCGGCAGTCGCACTTGCGACCACTCGGCCAGTGAGGCCAGTCTTATTCAGGTAATGTGTCGATCAAATCTACTGTACCCCTTGACGAAATCCTTACTATAATATTATAAATCGGAAAGTGAGTTTGTTTGCTTGTTTGTTCCGACTTCACGCCATAACTACTAAACCGATTGCTTTGAATTTTTTGCAGACGTGAAGTTAGAAGTCTGGATTAAATAATAGGATACTTTTTATCCCGGAAAATGTTGATATTCTCGAGGGAAAACGAAATTATTGGTATAGATGGCGCTGTGGGTATTGGTATATGTCACATAGGCTACTTTTTATCCTTTTGTGACGCGAGCGAAGTAAAGCTAGTTATTAATATAGATGCTCACCTATCCCTATTCTTAGTCAACAAGTTTGGTTCGATGCCGGCCATAAGTCCATTGAACCACAGCGCCAGTTGTTCCTGTTTATCTCTCGGCTGCTGAGCGATCATATCCTGGCGGATGCGGGCGAACTGCTCCTCATTGAGGAGTATCAGGCCCAGCAGGGGACGGGACATAGACCACTGGTTGCAACAGTCTTCGAACATTATTACGTTTAGGACCTGTGGAAAGCATAAACAGATATTCTTCTGTACACTTCTTAATGTTTTAACATTTTTTTAGTTAATTATTATGTTTTCGGCTTACTCACGTAGTAATTTGACGAGGAACTCGACTATTTTCAAGCCATGCTAGAGGCTCATATTCATGAGTAGCACTTCGCGTCGCCGCGTCGCGGGTCGCGAAGTGCTGCGACTAGTCGAGTTCCTCGTCGAATTACTACGTGAGTAAGCCGAAAACATAATAATTTATTTAGTATGTCTCACGAAAGTTACAATACAATTTTTTAGTACTTTTTTATGGTACAATGAGCAGACGGATCACCTGATGGTAAGCTATCATCGCCGCCCATGGATACCCGTAACACTAAAAGTTACAAATGCGTTACGTGTGTTTTGGCGTTCGGGGTTTGAGGATTGGGGATTTGGGGATAAAGAAAGAAGTTTTTGGACTTCCACACAATGAATTGTTTTACTGTAGTGTACTATGATGCAATGGTATTACTCCAGTTGAACCGGCTCCAGTGCTAAAGCATGACTTGTCTATACTTAATACTTAGGGTAGTTTCCTAAATTTTATTTTAATGTCCGTCTGGTACATTAATTTAATACTTTAGACACATAATTTTACTTTTCTCAAAAAATTAAATACTTTCGACGATATATTAATTTGAAATATCGTGTGACGTCATAGCGTGCCACATTTAGTAGCACGTTATGACGTAACGATCTCCCACTCCTAAACTTAGCGCCATTTTATCTAAGTAATGCAACTTAATACGAGAAAATAAAAACTATACGTGTCTAATATTTTTCATTATCTAATTGACGGACTGATTAGATTTTTAATTTTGTTACCCTGGCAACTATAAATTATAAATTAGACTGGTAACTATAAATTATAAATTAGGCAATTATAAATTAGACTACTTTTTACGCATTGAGCAAGCGTGGTGATTAATGCTCTAACCTTCTCCGTGTGAGAAGAGGCTTTGCTCAGCAGTGGGCATTCATAGGCTGTTGATGATGATGATCTTAACATTTGAAATAAGGTGTATAATGGAGTGGATGAGATAGGGTAATGTTAACATACCGTTGCGAGTAACTGTTGCATGATCTCGGGACGTCGTTGTAACACTTCTATGAACATGTTGCTTGTCTCTGGGGGCGGCTGGCGGGGGTTCGATACCTTGTTGCTAGCTGTGGGGTACGATATTAGGTTTAGTAAATGAAGAAACTTTCTTTTTATATAATATATACCAGTAACACGGTGTAAATAGAATCGGAGGGATGATACTAGAACTATGAAGTATCGAGTGAATTCAAAAAAGTATTATTATTTATTTTAAGTTATGATAGTGAATAGTTCCTACTATTGTATATCATTTTTATGTAATTTTAGGTTAGTTTTAGTTATTATTGTGTAAGGTAGGTAATTTAATAGGTTAAGATGTAATGTGTATATATTATTATTTTTGTGTTTAATGTTATAATTTTTTTTTTTTTATTTCTTTTTGGTTTCGTTCTATTTATTAGTAATAGGTATAAATATGTTTTTTTTTTTCTTAACTACATTAAGCCTCATTGTCGAATTGGGAAAATCCTGTAATGAGAGTGTAGGAAGAATTTTATAATAAATAAATAAATAAATATGATGATACTAAAGGCGTTGCTTCACGTCGCTCCGGTATCACTTCGGTTGAGCAGGCCCATTCGTGCCGAAGAAAGGCTCTCCCACGCTTAGATTAAAAAAATCTTAATAAATACAAGTAAAAATTAATGCTACTTACATTTCTGTACTAACTGCTTGAACAGATAGGTCACTATGTGGTCTAACGTAGCGCAGCATCCCGTGCAAACACTCGTATCTGTTTACATAACATTACTCAATCAAATAAATATACATCTATATTCTATATACTCATATATCATACTAATATACAAAGCTGAAGACTTCGTTTGTTTGTTTGTTTAAACGAGCTAATCTCTGTAACTTCTTAGGCCTTAGTACGTAGTTGTTTTACGTTGAAAGTAATCGAAACGAGTACGCGTTCGGCGCTCTGATTGGCCGGCTCCAATGAACCAACCATGAGTCACATGTAATTCGATATTTTTATATATATACATATGTATGACTGCCTCGTTGGCCGAGTGGTCGCATGGGCGACTGATGGGCTAGGGGTCTCGGGTTCGATTCCCGGGTCGGGCAAAGTGTTATTGGAATTTTAAAAAATTCTCAGCACGGAGTCTGAAATTATGCCCGGTATATGACAATAGGCTCACCCCCTATTACATGGGACTCATAACATAAATAGTGAAAAGTGGGTGTTACATTGTACAGTGGTATAATGTGCACCTCTGCCTACCCCCTCGGGGATAAAAGGCGTGATGTTATGTTATATATGTATATTGTGTGTATGTTATGTCTCTGCATCACCCTATGGTTGGCTGGTAGAGAATGCCATTCGGCATTAAGTCCGCCATTGTATACATTTGTACATAAAGTGTTAAATAAATAAATAATAAAAAAATATATATTATATACTTACCTAGAGCCGTAAGTCCCTCGGAGATAGAGCAGAGTATGTATAGAGTTGCGTCCGGTTGTAGCGATGCTAGGAACGGCATATGGTCTTGCGCCAGTCGTTCTAGCAACACGTAGTATGTCTGAGATAGTTTCGGATAGTCCTGTAGACAAACATAATAGTTATAAATGCCATCAAATTCAAATGTTTATCTCTGTAATGTAATTTAATAGTGACTATTATTGTACAAATTGCTGATTTTAATGAAATTGAATATAATCTTTATACCTATAAAATTTGTATGCCACTATTGGCGAAACATGGACGCTCAACATATTATTTAACACCTTGCATGTCTGATTACTCGATTTATGTATACGCATGTTTTACAAATAAACGATCTTTCTTTCTATATAAACTACTAGCAGCGCGTCCCGGCTTCGCACGGGGTAGTAAATTATTTATTTTTGGAAATTTGGATTGTTGTAGTGACATAACTACAATAGTTGGACATATGCTACCGCGGAGTTTTTTGTAGACATTATGATGTTCTTCAATATTGTTGTACATTATTTTGTTCTATCGCTAATAGTTTCGGCAGCGCATTCGACGAAAGTCATTTTAAGTCTCATTTTTCTACACCTTCGGTTACATTGTTAAAATTTTACCAAGGATCCCTAATATTTTTCAAAATGAAATGTAGCCTATGTCAAATTGGAAGAATGTAGCATTCTATTGGTGAAAGAATTTTTTAAATCGGCCCAGTACTTTTTGAGCCTATTCATTACAAACATACAAAAATAGGTACAAATCTTTCCTCTGTATAATATTAGTATAGATTTGATACTTTTTTTAAGAGATAAACCAGTAAAGTATAAAAAAATGTTATTCTCATCCTGTGCATGTATATGTATTGTGTTCCTACACTTGCCTTGAACATTTTCGCCTGAGTTGTGTTACATGGTACCACTTATTTATAATTGGCTAGTTTCCTAGGTTTAAAATAAATCAAGTAAAATCGCGGGTTACTCACGTGAATATACTGAGAAAAGTTCTACTAGTTTCGAACCACAGAGGAGTTCTTCCTCATGAGCAGCGTCCGCGATCGCGGCGACGTCGCGCAGCTCACTTTTCTCAGTATATTCACGTGAGTAACCCGCGTTTTTACTTAATTTAAAATAAATCGTTTCAACTTTTCATTGCACTAAATAATTAAAAATAATCATACTCTAATCCATTGAATTAACAATATACCTTTTTTAATTTTTTCTCGTTAATTTTAAGGAAATAAGACGCAGAAATATGATGACATCATAAGTAGCGATCCAATATTCATAGAAAAGTATAGTAGGTAGCTTTTGACATTTCAATAAAAGTATTGAATTTGACTACCTGTCAACTACCGTATTCTATATCTACGTCTGTTACTAACGAGCTTCTGCCCGCTTCTTCATACGCGTAATCCCATTTTTTCCCGTCCCCGTTCGTGATTTTCGGTAAAAAGTAAAAAAAAGAAATTGGATAAAAAGTATCCAATGCCCGTCTCCTGGTTCTAAGCTACCTCCCTACCAATTTATATGCAAATCCATTTAGCCGTTCTTGAGTTATAAATAGTGTAACTAACACGACTTTCTTTTAACTAATACATAGTTCGAGCCTATTGAACCTATTGAGAGCAGGCTACGCGACATCGCCGCGACGGCGCACGCTGCTCATGAGGAAGAGCCCCTCTATGGGTCGAAACTAGTAGAGCTTTTCTCAGTATATTCACGTGAGTAACCCGCGATTTTTAGTTAATTTAGTATGTCTCACGACAAAAAACATGATATTAAATATTTGTTTGCCTGACCTGGGGGCTTACTCTTGAATCCAATTCCGATCGATCGACATTGTTATTGTGAAATATCGTACGCTTGAGTTACAACACTAGCGCCCATTGCATCCGTATTGCGTGGATATTGAATGAAATAAATGGTATTGAGTTTGGCTTTATATTCCGTACTCTAAATGCTATTTCAACAGCTACGATAGGGGTTGTATAGTGTTGACATTGAATAATTAACATAACATAACATCACGCCTTTTATCCCCGAAAGGGTAGGCAGAGGTGTACATTACGGCACTTAATGCCACTGTACAATGTAACACCCACTTTTCACTATTTATGTTATGGGTCCCATATAATAGGGGGTGAGCCTATTGCCATATACCGGGCACAATTCCAGACTCTGTGCTACTACTGAGATTTTTTTGAAAAAGCCCAGTAATACTTTGCCCGACCCGGGAATCGAACCCGAGACCCCTTGCGCGGCAGTCGCAATTGCGACCACTTGGCCAACGAGGCATTGAATAATTTTTGAGTTTTTATTGGATTTAAATTGTATTGACATTGAGATTGGTTTCAAGAGTACGCACCCTGGTGAAATGTGAGGATATCAAAAATATTGTATTATCTGTAATGGTAATAATAATCTGTAATACAAAAGGTTCATAGAAGTCATAGTATGTCGTACGTACCAGTAGATCGGTCTGCGGTATACTGAGAAGTAGCTTGACGAACATATTCAACGCGTTGTCTAGTGCCTCGTCGCCGTATAACCTGAAAATAATTACATTTTTATTAAGTATATAAAGTAACACTCAAATAAAATCTGTAATATTTAAACTACGTATAGACCACGGATGAGGTCCAGTAGGGTTGATGCCGATGTGGAGCCGCGGGCAACGTAAAAGGTTACCGGGGTTTCGGCTCGAAGTGCAGGAGTAGGAACGGGGTGGTTTTTAGTCAGTAAGAGTCTGACACTCCCTCCCGCCTCACCCAGGCGGGAGAAGTCATTCGGTGATTTTTCCCCCCTTAAAAAACTAGATATACGTATAAAAACAGACTTCAACCCACTCGTTTTTGAAGTCTGTTAATTAATATAGATACTAGAACCTCTAATCAGTGTTTCATTAACAACTAACGCTTTCTTTTAGAAAATTCGTGCACAAATGTATGTTTAAACAATGACGTCAAATTATTATTAGAGGTCAAATGAAAGTCAACTGATTTATGTGTTTTGTTAAAATAAACTCAATCTTTAGAATTTTAAGAGCCAAAATTACGAAAATTTAATTTGGGAACCTAAAATCTCGAAATGGTTTTTGAATAGGCATGTTATATGGGATAAGCCGGTAAACGAGCAGACGGATCACCTGATGGTAAGCAATCGGCTTCGTCCATGGACACCTGGCGTTATCGGCCTTTTAGGGATTAAGGATTTAAAGATTGTTAGGGATTCGGGGATTAGGGGAGGGGGATAATTAGGCCTACAGTAACCTCGTCCACACCACGAAACACAACGCGAGCGTTGTTTCACTAGATTCTCTGCTCGGTCGTGGCATCACTCCTGTCGCAGCGCTCTCGAAATCATGGCGGGCCCACACTTAAGGCGTAGAGGTTGATTTTTACTTAACATACTGAATTGTATCATTTATTCCACCCGAAACTGTTTTAGGAGCGCGATACGTGTTGCATTTCGTGATTTTAGTGTATAGGCCAGTGCCTATAAACTGAACAAGTACTTGTATGACTTACCTGAAGACTCCGAAATTAGCATAGTTCCCGCATAGAGCCGCCTTGAGTATGGAGAAACAGAGAGATATGCCCTTTAGCTTCATGGCATACATCTGTTTCTTATTCACGTCTATTGTTAGTATTCTGCTGCCTGGAATATTCAATTAAAAAAATAAATTTATGTCAATTCACATGTTAAAAAAACCGACTTCAACCCCCTCTATTTTGAAGTCGGTAGACAATCGCGACAATCCCCGAATTATCTCCGAAGAGGTAAGCAGAGGTACACATTACGGCACTTAATGCCACTGTACAATGTAGCACCCACTTTTCACTATTTATGTTATGAGTCCCATGTAATAGCGGGTGAACCTATTGCCATATACTGGGCACAATTCCATACTCCGTGGTACTACTGAGAAATTTTAAAACACCCAGTAATATTTTGCCAGGCTCTTGCCCAGCAGTTTTTTTATGGCATAAGCCGGTAAACGAGCAGACGGATCACCTGATGGTAAACAATCGGCGTCGTCCATGGACACCTGGAACACCAGACGTTACAAGTACGTTACCGGCCTTTTGGGAATTAGGAGTTTGAGGATCGTTGGGCATTCAGGAATTGGGGAGATTGGGGAAGGGGAGGGTAATTGGGCCTCCGGTAACCTCACTCACACGACGAAACACAACGCAAGCGTTGCTTCACGTAGGTTTTCTATGAGGCCGTGGTATCACTCCGGTCGAGCCGGCCCATTTGTGCCGAGGCATGGCGAGCCCACACTTAAAGTTGCAGTAAGGTTAGATTATGTATGGAATAACACATAGGCTACAAAACCGCGAGTGAAGCCGCCGACAGTAGCTATTATACAAGTAAATTGTCGCGGAGAACCTAACGGGTAACCGGGGCTCCGGCTCGACGTGCAGGAGAAGGAACGGGGTGGTTTTTAGTCAGTAAGAGTCTGACACTCCCTTCCGCCTCACCCAGGTGGGAGCAGTCATTCGATATTTTTCCCCCCTTAAAAAAAAGTATACAAGTAAATTACACTTACCATAAGCGCAAATAATATTAGAAAGTTCTCGAAACAGTAATATTCCGTTGGGCGAGGAGACGTCGAAATGCAGCCGCTGGTTACGATTCTGTGCCAGCTCCGCCGTCAGCTTCAGTACTGGGGTAGTTAGTGCGGGCTCCGCGAACCAAACCTCGATACCTCGCAGCAGGACTTTCATGTATACAGGGTATCTGGGAAGAAAGTAACAGAATATTACATAATTAGAGAATATTACATAGTTTAAGACGCCCGCTTCACGTGCATGAGGGCACCCTCATGGGATTGAAACCTACCAACGATAATTACTAATGTGACGAAGTGGATGTTACATTCTTGTGTGCACCTCTGCGTACCCCTTCGGGGAAAAAAGGCGTGATGTTATGTTATATAAGATATAAAATGATGAATTAAAAATAAATAAACTCGATTTATTTAAAAAAAAAACCAAGTAATACTTTGCTCGACCCGCCAATCGAACATCGAACCCGAGATCCCTCGCTCGGTAGTCGCACTTGCGACCACACGGCCGACGAGGCCAAAATAAATAGGTAAACTATATAAAATGAAACCCGTTTCCCGTTGTCACGCCATAACTTGAGAATGGCTGGACCGATTTAACTAATTCTTTTCTTTTTGTTATATTTGTTTTTATTAGGAGAAAGTTCTTAAGATAGAAAAAATACTGAAAATCTTACGGGAATGGGAGAAAACGGGATTGCGCGTACGAAGTCACGGGCAGAAGCTAGTAATAACATATATACAAAATACACTTACATCCAATCAAACAGCATCATATAAGTAGTTTTAGTGCTGAACGCGAACGCTAGCCCGCGTAGATCGCGCGCGAGACCTATTAGTGTCTTCTTGGCGTCTTCTGAATTGTACATTGTGGACTCCGGCCCGCTTAACAGGCCTATTATACTCTCGAATGCCGCTGTTGAAAGAAAAAATGTATTATTTTCTTTAAAGGGCTGACGTTTGACCACTATCTCGCCTGGTGGTAAGCGATGATGCGGTCTACGATGGAGCACGTCGACTTCTGGCGACACATGTCAAAGGAAGATGAAAACAAATCAACAGATGACGTTTAAGTGTGGGAGAGCTATGCTTGCGCACGAATGGGCCGACTCGACCGGAGTGATACCACGGCCGAGCAGAAAACCGTCGTGAAGCAACGCTTGCATTGTGTTTCGTCGTGTGCGTGAGGTTACCGGAGGCCCAATTACTCTCCCTTTCCCCAATCTCCCCAATTCCTGAATCCCCAACGATCCTCAAACTCCTAATCCCCAAAAGGCCGGTAACGCACTTGTAACGCCTCTGGTGTTCCAAGTGTCCATGGGCGACGCCGATTGCTTACAATCAGATGATCCGTCTGCTCGTTCACCGGCTTATGCCATAAAAAGAAAATGACGTCACAAAATCGTACATCGCACATGTGAAGATTACAAGCGAATAAACATGGGTAGAAAATCCCAACGAACAACTGTTGGGCATGCCCCGCTAACAGCTTGCTGCTCGCTGGGCTTGCCCGGCTAGAGCGTGGCTCGTGGCGGGGCATACCACCGGACTCGACACCGCATTGGGCCCCGCAAGGAGCCCGACTAATCTAACCCCTCGCCTGCTGTAGCAGGCAGCGAGCGAAACCCCCAGCCGGGGACGCGGAGAAGACCCGACGACAACTGTTGGGCAGAAAGCCCGCCAGGCACGATCACCTCGCCTGGTCGGAGGATCCTCCTTTTCCGATCTTAGGGAACTATACTCTCTGTTCCCTAAAGACTCATAAGCAACCTATTCACTAGGGCTATGAAGACACCCAGCAAAGAAATTTCTGCTCGGCCGTTGTATCACTCCGGTTGAGCTGGTCCATTCGTGCCGAAGCATGGCTGTCCCACACTTGAAATATATGAGTTGTCCTTTAAGTTGTATGTGTGTACACTGTACATCTATATATATAAATGAATCCCTTTTTCCTTTGGTCAAGGCATCACGCGTGAATGGCTGGACCGATTTCACTTATTCCTTTTTGTTATATTTATTATTATTAGGAGAAGGTTCTTAAGACGGAAAAAACCTGATAATCCTACGGGAATCGGGAGAAAATGGGACTAAGTCCCGAGCAGAAGCTAGTTAATACATAAAAGACAGTACCAGTGAGCGGCATCATGAAGGCGAGGAACCGGTCCTCGTCCTCCCCCAGGTCGACCATGAGCAGCCTGCCCAGCGCCGTGTACAGCATGCTCCGACAGCGCATCTCGGCCGCGCCCACGCCCGCTATACCCAGGAACGGGAAGTGCTCCGCCTGAAGGGGGGACATATTGGACTTATATTGTTGCTTTATTACAGGCAGCTGTGGCCCATATAAAATATAATCAATAAATAAAAATAAAATACAAAATTGAAATAGATACCAAAAAATAAATACATCAATAAACTAATAGATATACAATAACAAAACTTACATAACATAACATAACAACACGCCTTTTATTTCCGAAGGGGTAGACAGTGGTGCGCATTATACCACTGTACAATGTAACACCCACTTTTCACTATCTATGTTATGAGTTCCATGTAATAGGTGAGCCTATTGCCATATACCGGGCACAATTCCAGACTCCGTGCTACTACTGAGAATATTTAAAAACCCAGTAATACTTTGCCCGACCCGGGAATCGAACCCAAGACCCCTTGCCCGGCAGTCGCACTTACGACCACTCGGCCAACGAGGCAGACAAAATTTATAATTATAATTATTGTACACGAAGAGACGGCATCGTGTTTCGCTGATTGGTGTCACTGAGTCGGCCACGGAAACGCCGAATAATAGAGTAGTTGGGTCATAAGTATTTGGCTGCCTCGTTGGCCGAGCGGTCGCAAGTGCGACTGCGCTGCAAGGGGTCTCGGGTTCGATTCCCAGGTCGAGCAAAGTATTACTGGGTTTTATATAAAAATTCTCAGGAGTACCGTGGTAGGCTCCGTGAAGCCTGGACATGTGCCCGATATATGACGATAGCCTCACCCCCTATCACATGGGACTCATAACATAAATAGTAAAAAGTGGGTGTTACATTGTACAGTGACATTAAGTACCGTAATGTGCACCTCTGCCTACCCTTTCGGAAATAAAAGGCGTGCAATTATGATATGTTCACAACTTACAGTATGATGTGTCAGCATGAACTGGACCTCGTCCAGTTTGACCAGTTTCCGTACACACGAGTACCCGCCGCTGAGGTCGCTGAGTAAGCCGAGGGTCTTTGATATTATCTGCTCCGAACCGCCCCAGTACTTCAAGTTTGTTATACTGTTGGGAAAAGTGTATGGTTATTATATTTAAAAAAACGACTTAAGATATCTTTCCCGTCATTAAGTGCCGTAATGTACACCTCTGCCTACCCCTTCGAGGATAAAAAGGCATGATGTTATGTTATATCTTTCCCGTATATTTTTTTTAAAGGGGGGAAATCATCGAATTACTTCTCCCGCCTGGGTGAGGCGGGAGGGAGTGTCAGACGCTTACTGACTAAAAACCACCCCGTTCCTACTCCTGCACTAATACAACGCAAGCGTTGCTTCACGTCGGTTGTCTGTTCGGCCGTGGTATCACTCCGGTCGAGCCGGCCTATTCGTGGCCGAAGCATGGCTCTCCCACACTTATACTAATACTTTCTAATTATAAGTTTGAAACCGCCAACCCGCCTGAGCAAGCGTAGTGATTAAACTGTCAAACACCAAGCGGTTACCGGTGACCGCAACCTATTGTTCTTTAATTGTGTCGATAATGACGGTACTCAACGAGTTAATGCTAAAACCTTCTTCGTGTGAGAAGAGGCCTTTGGTCAGCAGTGGGCGCTTGTGGGCTGTTGATGTATGTACGTATGTATGTTTGATAAACTCACATCTTCCTCATGAGCACGCTGAGTAGTTGGCTCTCGTCAGCCAAGCCCAGTACATCACTGAGTCGGCGGTACACCTTACTATTCTTCTGGACCTGTTCCCCCACGTAGATCTTTCGGAACTGCTCGAAGAATGACATCATCGCCAGCTCGAGTTTCTCGCAACCACCCTGTACAGAGAGAAACATGTAAAACAATATTAGATATTAGCTTCTGCCCGCGGCTTCCCCCGCGTTCCCGTCGGATTAAATGTAGCCCATGTGTTATTATTATTACAGGCCATACCAACACACACACACACACTTAGTTTTTAGTCAAATTTCCGTGGTGCTTGGCGACTGGGCTTCACCCAGTTGTACAGTCTCTTCTTTGTGCCTTTAGGCTTAATTCATTCTGTCTCCTGCAGTAATTCACCGAGGGAAGTGGAAACTATCGTTTTTTTCTTCTTCTCCTCTTATAATATTTTCTGATTCACTTCGTTGCGAGAACCAAGACAGTTAGTCATGTCCCTGGGACGCGCCGGACTTCAGTGTTCCGGTGTTTTCATGGTTGTATCTACTGTAGATCCTTGCTTACAGGAGTTGCAGCGGTTTTGGGAGTTTGTAGCGGGCTTGTCCCATTAAAAAAAGGCCATACCAACACACACACACTAGAGTAGACTACAGCCTACCAACCAGACCAGTGCCTTTAGCCAAACGCCACTTTAGCGCTTGTCTACAGAGACAGTAGAAACATTAGTGTCACGTTCGTGAACGGGCGCCGTCAATTGGCACTGGTCAGCTCCGGACTGTATTATTTATTGTCCTCAAGGTTATTTTCTTTTTTCTCTGTATTTTATTCTATGTATTTTGCTTCGTGTATTTCTTTATCTAATGTTCTGTAGTTTTACTATACTATCTCATTTACTTTTAACACCTTTTTTATATTATGTACTTCGTTTAGTTTTATTTTTTTTTAATTTTTTGTAATTTAATTTGATTTATGTAATTGGTGTATACTGTGTTAATCAATCCTTACTAATATTATAAATCGGAAAGTGAGTTTGTTTGTTTGTTTGTTCCACCTTCACGCCGTAACCACTAAACCGATTGCTTTGAATTTTTGCAGACGCAAAGTTAGAAGTCCGGATTAAATAATAGGGTACTTTTTATCCCGAAAAAAATTGATCTTCCCTAGGGAAAACAAAAGTATTGGTATAGATGGCGCTGTATGTATTAGTATATGTCACATAGGCTACTTTTTATACTTTTGTGACGCGAGCTAAGCCGCGGGTAAAAGCTAGTAAACAAATAAACAATAGTTTGCCTTCTAGATAACACAGTCCTGCGACTAACCTGCGCCAGTCTGGAGTCAGTAAGGTCCATGAGCTGCAGCACCCTACAGACGAGCTCGCCGTCCATGGCGTCATTCTCTTCGCACGTATTGACTGACGCACGCCCGCCTATGGCCGCGCCGATTATGTACACTAGCCATGTTAGCTGGCCTGAAGAAGAAAACAAATAATAAATTAACAGTTTTAATTTTTTTTTATTAACTACATATCACATAATATCACGCCTTTTATCCCCGAAGTGGTAGGCAGAGGTGCATATTACGGCACTGCGGGCGTCCATGCATTGAGCATTAATCACAACGCTTGCTCAATGCAGGTTGGCGATTTCAAACTAATAATTAAAAATTCTAAGCCCTGGTTTCGTTACGATGTTTTCCTTCACCGTTTGTCAGTAATGTCTAGATAATCTTGGAAAGTACGTGTAACTCGGAAAAAGTCACATTGGTACTTGTCGTTGGTAGGTTTCGAACCTGCATACTCATTTATGAGAAGCGGGCGTCTTAACCTCCGGGCCACCACGACGACATGTAAATAACAAGTGTGTGCAAAATTAATACATTGGCGCTGAGTGATAAAAATAGAATGACTGGTCAGCTCCAGACTGTATTATTTATTGTCTTTAAGGTTATTTTATTTTTCGATCATTTTGACGGGATTTTAGTGTTACATTGTTCTCGCACAATCCAAACAGCAAAACCATGTAACTAGAGACTTGTATTGTGAACCTGATTGAAAAAGAGTAACCTATGGAGTTTCTCGCTCGTTCTTCTCCATAGGAATCAACACCTTGGAAGGAGCAAATAGCTTTACTTTTATTTTTTTTATTGACATTCAAAAGTGCCTTTCTGGTTTTTTTAAATGGGACTACATTATAGACCTTATTTCCAATGTTTAGAGACTACTTTTGTTTGAACTAGAGGATGAATTTCAACGACAAATTGTAAGTGTGTGAGAGCCATGCTTCGGCACGAATGGGGTGGTTTGACCGGAGTGATACCACGGCCTCACAGAAAACCGACGTGAAGCAACGCTTGCGTTGTGTTTCGTCGTGTGAGTAAGGTTCCGGAGGCCCAATTGCCCTCTCCTTCCCCAATCTCCTCAATTCCTGAATCCTTAACGATCCTTAAACTCCTAATCCCCAAAAGGCCGGTAACGCACTTGTAATGCCTTTGGTATTCCAGGTGTCCATGGGCGACGTTGATTGCTTACCATCAGGTGATCCGTCTGCTCGTTTACCGGCTGATCCCATAAAAAAAAAACGTGTTAAGGCTCCTACACACAGTGCCGGCGGCATAAAAAGGAGCCGCTGGCAAGTAAAACATTTTCACTTTACTGGCGTTTTATGTGACTGTCACAACCGGAATGATGCTTGACGGCTTTGTGCGGCTTGTGCCTTGTATTGCCGGCGGCATGTGTGTAGTAGCCCTTAGAGTGTGTACAGAAGGAGGCGGCACCTTGCAGCACGTGTATCTGGTGCGGCGCGGGCGCGCTGTAGGCGGCGGCGGCGCGGTCGAAGTGCGCGACGAGCAGCGCGCACGTCTTGCCGTACTCGCAGCGCCCCACCACCGACACCTGCTCCAGCTGCTGCGACACCGTGCCCGCGTCCTCCAGCGGGTCCTCCACGCCCTCGCTGGGGACATACGGGTGTCACGTCTTACACGTAGCTACATTCTCCATGTTTCGCCCAGAGGCGTACAAATATTATATAAGGTGCTCTATAATTATCAGCCACGGCTTTAATGGGAGGTAGTGTTATGTTTACAGATTACAATTGTGAAGAAATTTCGTACCCCGGACCAGTTAATTACATACAGTAATTAAGTAAACATTGACTACATTCTGCATAATGCGGTTCACAAATTACGCGCGATGCGTCGCTTAGTCAATGAAAACAATTGCTATGTCTTTCCACGTGTACTGAGAATGAAAACGGAAATCAACTGACTAGTTCGTCACTATCTAATCTACTAGATACTCAATAGGCAGGCTAACAAGGGTTTTAAAAGTGCAATTACTTACCAGGCCTTCTTCAGCCTTCTTCCGAAAAGCTGATGTAGGTAAATAAGATTATAAACTTCCCATCACACTTAAAACAGTCTTTTACACACTCTCTACCTACTTATCTACAAAACTGTTGCACAAGTCCACCTTCGCGTTGCACACAAATGAAGGCACGCTTCCAAACATGTCATATCACATTATTCAATGTGTCCGTTTCACTTTTACTTTGTTTCGCGTTTGATTTAAAAGACGCCACAAGTTATTGTCTCTATCATCGTAAACTCCGGCAGTATCCCTTGTGCTCGCAAGAGGATGACACCGAAAGAACTGTAACACTTCCTCTTCGAGTTCTGATTTGAATTTCGTCGCCTGGGAGGCATTTTTACGTAGCGCGCGCGTATCCCCGACATTGAAACTAACGTCCAGGCAGGCGGGGGTTGACTGGGCTACTAGCGGCCGGCCGGCGTGTGCGACGAGTTCTGCTGGCTGGGGTGTGCTGTCTCGTTCTTGAACGCCCCGTCATACGCTGTTGCCATCCTTATCAGTAGCTCAACCCCCGCCTGCCCGGCGGTCGGTTGACCAGCGCGTGCGACGAGTGCAGGAGAGGGTGCGGGCGCGTGGGGGTGTGCAGCGTGCTCCTAGCCGCCCGGCGCCGAGCGGTCTGATAAGGATGGCAACAGCGTATGACGGGGCGTTCAAGAACGAGACAGCACACCCCAGCCAGCAGAACTCGTCGCACGCGCCGGCCGGCCGCTAGTAGCCCAGTCAACCTCAGCCAGCAGAACTCGTCGCACGCGCCGGCCGGCCGCTAGTAGCCCAGTCAACCCCCGCCTGCCCGGACGTTAGTTTCAATGTCGGGGATACGCGCGCGCTACGTAAAAATGCCTCCCAGGCGACGAAATTTAAATCAGAACTCGAAGAGGAAGTGTTAGAGTTCTTTCGGTGTCATCCTCTTGCGAGCACAAGGGATACTGCCGGAGTTTACGATGATAGAGACAATAACTTGTGGCGTCTTTTAAATCAAACGCGAAACAAAGTAAAAGTGAAACGGACACATTGAATAATGTGATATGACATGTTTGGAAGCGTGCCTTCATTTGTGTGCAACGCGAAGGTGGACTTGTGCAACAGTTTTGTAGATAAGTAGGTAGAGAGTGTGTAAAAGACTGTTTTAAGTGTGATGGGAAGTTTATAATCTTATTTACCTACATCAGCTTTTCGGAAGAAGGCTGAAGAAGGCCTGGTAAGTAATTGCACTTTTAAAACCCTTGTTAGCCTGCCTATTGAGTATCTAGTAGATTAGATAGTGACGAACTAGTCAGTTGATTTCCGTTTTCATTCTCAGTACACGTGGAAAGAGATAGCAATTGTTTTCATTGACTAAGCGACGCATCGCGCGTAGAGATGGGTTTTTGCCTGGGCATTTAGGGACGTATTGAGTAAATGCCCAATAAACGTCCATTTACGCTCAATAAACGTTCCAAAATAGGGCAGTTATTTTAATTGTAAAATATCACTAATTATTACATCAAACTGAGTTCAAATTACTTTAAAGTGTTTTTTTTTTTTGTATAATAAAACTATTATATCAACTCCTAATTCTTTTAACTCTTTAAATACCTTATTTTGTATTATGCTCGCCGAGATGTGGATGTGGATATCCCTGACAAAACTATTTGCAAAGGCCTTGTTTATTTCTGGAGCACCAATGTCGATGGTACAACATGCACTGTGGAGACAGTTTTACGAAAAGGTTGAATTTCAAATTGCCTTCTAGAAAGACTCTTGCTACAAAGTATTTAGATACGCTGTACAATGAAATGTCCAAAGAATTGTTTGATCATCTTAAAAAAGCCACCTTCTTACACTTGCAATGCGACAGGTGGAGCAACATTCGTAATCAAGGTGTTATTAATTTTTTGATATCCAAGCCAGAATTGATATTTGTCAAAAGCCTTGATACCGAAGATCACCGTCATACTAGTGAGTATTTATGCAGCAAAATAAAAAAGGTTATTCAATCTTATGAGGAGAAAAAATACTCGTCCTTATCGGAGATAACGCAAGGAATCTGCAAAAGGCTTTTCAGATGTTGCAAATAAAATATCCTTCTGTAATTCCAATGGGTTGCGCTGCACACAGTCTAAATTTGTTGTCTGCAGATGCCATGAGACTGCCTGTAATTAAAGCTTGCATCGATCTTGCGATAGACGTAATTAAGTGTGTAAAAAGAAGTCAGGTACTCAGTGCACTTTAATTAAAACCAGAAAAGACAATAATATTGCCGGCGAAACTTTAAAATTACCCTGCAAAACTAGATGAGGAAGCTATGTTTCTGCACTAGAAAGCGTACAAACCAACAAATCTGCCAATGTAAAATCCGTTCTGCTCTATGGGTGCAAAACGTGGAAGGTGACTAAAGACATCTCACGCCAACTTCAAGTCTTCGTTAACCGATGCCTGCGTCGCATTCTCGGAATTTACTGGCCCAAGACCATCTCCAACGTAGAGTTTTTGGAGAAATGCCACGAAAGCCCGATCGACTGCCAGTTCAAGCGCCGCAAGTGGGGATGGATAGGGCACACGCTCCGAATGGATCCTGACCACATACCCAAGCAAGCCTTGGATTGAAATCCCCAAGAGAAAAGAAAGCGTGGCCGTCCTCGGCAAATCTGGCGTCGTACCGTAGTGGCAAAAGCGACGAGCATCGGTATGACGTGGAGTGAGGTGAAACGTGAAGCTCAAGACAGATCGCGATAGAGAACTTCAGTGGACGCCCTCTGCCCCATCTAGGGGAAACAGGATATTAAGTCAAGTATATCAAGAACACATTCAACCATCAACTGAGGTCAAAGTTTGCAATTCTTGACGAAAACTTTTGGGTTATGGTGAATCAATGTGTGAATGTATTAATGCCATTAACAGAAAGTATATTTCAACTCGAAGGAAATGATGACAACATTCATATAAAGTTTTTATGGTATTGAAGAATATGAAATCTAAAGTGCAATTTAATTTAGCTACAATATCAATTTTAGAGAATGCAGATAAAGAGTTATTGATAACAGCCATAGAAAATAGGATCATACAGATTATTAAACCGATGCTATGCACTACGCTGCATATTTACTGGATCCTACAGCTGTAGAACATGAACTTGATCAGAATCAGGAGATTAACGCGATAGATTTCATTGATGACCTTGCGTGTAGTCTAAATATCGATTATGTAGCTGACATTGCTCAATATAGACGCCGGGTGGTTTGTGGAGTGAGCAGCCTTTTTCAATTAGGTAAATGAATGGAGATTTCATCGTACATTTGATTAAGATCCTCTTTTTTGGTTAATACAATTGTTTTTAAATATCATACTTAATAATATTAAAAACAAATATAAAAAATCTACTTAATAAAAAGGCTTAATAACTATGGAATTTAACTAATTATAGTTTTTGCCTTGTTTTTGGGCATTTAAAAGGACGTTAATTCGTTTTTGCCCTATTTGTCAGGTTATGCCCTTTTTGCCCAGATGGGTTTAAACCCTCTGCCCATCTCTAATCGCGCGTAATTTGTGAACCACATTATGCAGAATGTAGTCAATGTTTACTTAATTACTGTATGTAATTAACTGGTCCGGGGTACGAAATTTCTTCACAATTGTAATCTGTAAACATAAGACTACCTCCCATTAAAGCCGTGGCTGATAATTATAGAGCACCTTATATAATTTACTGGAGATCTGGGAATGTTTTAGATTCACAAATCACCCCGGCAGATGGCGCTGTAGTCGGTGTCTAGGTTAGTTATCCTAAACAGCTGAACTAATTTGAATGAATTTTTGTTTATACATTCTAGTGAATATGTAGGACAACGTCTGTCGGGTCCGCTAGTATTATATACATAACTAGCGACCCGCCCCGGCTTCGCACGGGTGCAATATGTATATACATACAAACCTTCCTTAAGAATCACTCTATCTATTAAAAAAAACCGCATCAAAATCAGTTGCGTAGTTTTAAAGATCTAAGCATACATACGGACATACAGCGAAAGCGACTTTGTTTTATACTATGTATTGATATACATAATTATATTATAATTAAAATTATTTAACATTGTCATCATTCAAAAATTTATTGATAATTAAGTAATTGTAAATTAAATTGAATCCGATTAAGTAACATGTCATACAATAGTAATATCAAATAAAATTAGGATCATCAAATGAGTCATAAGTAATGTCAATATTAACAAGATTTAACAAATTGTCTAGAGAGATTAATTTTCGTGTCATATTATTTAGCGTTAAATATAACATTAACAGATATTATATATACGCATATGCATATCATTACAAATAAAATAGAAATAATTCAATAAAATGTCAAAAACGATTAAAGTTACATGTCATTTAGGACAATGTCAAACAAAATTCAAAAACTTCGAAACTGAGGAAAGCTCTACTAGTTTCGAACCACTAAATGTGGTTAAATAAATTATTATATGTTCGACTGCCTTGTTATCAGAGTTGTCGTAAGTGCGACTGCTGGACAAGGGGTCTCTGGTTCGATTCCCGGGTCGGGTAAAGTATTACTGGATTTTTTTTATAAAAAATCTTAGTAGTAACACCGAGTCTGGAACTGTGCCCGGTATATGGCAATAGACTCACCCCCTATTACATGGGACTTATAACATAAATAGTGAAAAGTAGGTGTTATATTGTACAGTATCATTATGTGCACCTCTGCCTATCCCTTCAAAGATAAAAGGCGTGATGTTATGTATGTATTCATCTATTCATGACCAACTGGGACGCGCCGGACTTCAGTGTTCCGGTGTGTACGTGGTCGTATCTACTGTAGATCCTGGTGGACAGGAGTTGCAGTGGTTTCGGAAGGTTGTGGTGGACTTGTGCCAAAAAACATACGGTTGGCGCGGTGACTGAGCAACTGGCTGCCTCGCAACACGTGGCGACGTGTCGCGGGTCGGTTCCCGCACGGAACATCACTTTGTGTGACCCACAGATTGTTGTTCCGGGTCTGTGTGTCATGTGTATGTCAACTTGTATGTTTGTAAACGCACACACGACACAGGAGACGAATCCAGTGTGGTGCGCAGTATTCTTTAAAAAAAAGCATCACGCCTTTTATCAGTTTTATCCCCGAAGGGATAGGCTGAGGTGCACATTACGGCACTTAATGCCACTGTACAATGTATCACCCACTTTTCACTATTTATGTTATGAGTCCCATGTAATAGGAGGTATTACTTTTAATCTCCACTTTTGGAAATATACTTGGTGATTATTTAAAGACACTTACCTAAGCACACAGGACACAGAATCCAGTCTGGATCCAATATACGCGGCGGTGACTCCTGGAGCGTACGTCTCCAAGAGATGGGGCTCGCTCGCCTTCACATAGGGAACTGAAGCTACCATGCGTTGCCATAGCGATAGGAGGTAGTGTACTGAGTTGGGGGCGAATTGCCACATCTGAAATGAAATATTAACATGTCAGAACAAACTTATTTTAATTTTTTTTATAGAAAACATTGCTCCACACTCGTAATGTCTCTTGTGTCGTGGGTATAAAACTATGTAACTAGAGAATTGTATTGTAAACATGATTGAAAAAGAGTAACCTATGGAGTTTCTTGCTCGTTCTTCTCCATAGGAATCTACACCTTGGAATGAGCAACTAGCTTCACTTCTAAATTTTTGTTGTTTGACGTTCAAAAGTGATTGAAATAAATGATTTTGACTTTAGACTTTGGGTGCGTTTACAAACATACAAGTTCACATACACATCACACACAGACCCTGAACGACAATCTGTGGATCACACAAAGAGCTGCTCCGTATTGGTATCGAACCCGCGACACGTTGCGCAGCAGCCATTTTATTACGTAAAGTTTGTTTAGAATTTAGGTTTATTTAATTATTGACTTAAGTGAATTATTTTTTTTCTGTATAAAATTGTCTACAATAAACCCGTTTTTATTAAGGAAAGTACTTGATACCAATGTCGATCGATCGGAATTGGATCCAAGAGTAAGCCACCAGTTTGTCATATAAAATTGTCTAATTATTTGATTAACTATACCTGTAAGCTCTGCACAGTAAACTTGGCGATGAGCTCAATAAGGCGAGGGTAGTTGTCCACCATGACGAGCTCGCCCAGTTGGTAGTTGGACTTCAGACGAGCGAGGAGACGGCAGAACTCGTGGTAGTTTGTCGGGTCTGACAGGCCCTGTGGAACAATACAAATACAGAGTTAATTTTCATAACATAACATAACATCACGCCTTTTATCCCCGAAGGGGTAGGCAGAGGTGCACATTGTGCCACAGTACAATGTAACACCCACTTTTCACTATTTATGTTATGAGTCCCATGTAATAGGGGGTGAACCTATTGCCATATACCGAGCACATTTCCAGACTCCGTGCTACTACTGAGATTTAAAAACCCAGTAATACTTTGCCCGACCCGGGAATCGAACCCGAGACCCCTTGCCCGGCAGTCACACTTGCGACCACTCGGCCATCGAGGCAGTTAATTTTCATAGACATAAAAAATCTTTACACATAGTCGCATTTCATCAGATGAATCTATACTACAAGTCTGATTTGAATAATTCTTTGTGTGTTAGGTTATAAAACATCACGCTACAACCAATAGGAGCTGAGCAGAGCGTGTGAAACTGCGCGGAAGTAGCTAATTCTACATAAATAAATCAATTTCCTTACATCGAGTACAATTTTAGATACTGCAGTAAAAGTTAGACTCCCTTGTTGGCCGAGTGGTCGCAAGTGCGACTGCCGGGCAAGCGGTCTCGGATTCGATTCTCGGGTGAGGCAAAGTAATACTGGGTTTTTAACAAAAATCTGAGTAGAAGCACTGAATCTGGAATTGTGCTCGGTATATGGCAATAGGTTCACCCCCTATTACATGGGAGTCATAACATAAATAGTGAAAAGTGGGTGTTACATTGAACAGTGGCATTAAGTGCCGTAATGTACACCTCTGCGTACCACTTCACGGATAAAAGGAGTGATGTATGTTATTGTTTTATTGAAAAAATGTTTTCTACCATCACGGGAGCGTCCCATTTACACCCTGTATACGAATTTCATTTATTTTTTTAAATATGAAAGGAGTATAACAGATGAAATGCTTTTTTTTTTAATGGGGGAAAATCATCGAATGACTGCTCCCGCCTGGGTGAGGCGGGAGGGAGTGTCAGACTCTTACTGACTAAAAACCACCCCGTTCCTTCTCCTGCGCGTCGAGCCGGAGTCCCGGTTACCCGTTAGGTTCTCCGCGACCGCGAGATGAAATGCTTACCTGTGTATTTTCCAGAATCCTGAGCACACCAGCGGCGAGTCTATTCAAGAACTTGGCTCGTTCGTTGGAACTGAACAACGAGCGACGTACAGACGCTAGTTGCACTAGGCACGCCAGGGCCAGACTCGCTAGGGCGCCACCTAGTAGGTGATACAGCTCGAAGAATAGGTCTAGCGTGCCAGATTCTAGAAATGTCGGACGCCATGATGTTGGTATCTGAAAGGAGAGAAAATATTTGTAAAAAGAGTAAAATACATAAGTGTGGGAGAGCCATGCTTCGGCACGAATGGGCCGGCTTCACCGGAGTGATACCACGGCCGAGCAGAAAACCGACGTGAAGCAACGCTTGCATTGTGTTTCGTCGTGTGAGTGAGGTTACCAGAGGCCCAATTACCCTTCCCTTCCCCAATCTCCCCAATCCCTGAATCCCCAACGATTCTCAAACTCCTAATCCCCAAAAAGCCGGTGACGCACTTGTAACGCCTCTGGTGTTCCAGGTGTCCATGGGCGACGCCGATTGCTTACCGTTGCTTATACGTATGCTCGATTACCGGCTTATGCTATTAAAAAAAAAATATGAATAAAAAGGTCGTATTTCTCGAATTTTACTATAAATATTTAAATAACAAAAATAAGAATCAACGTTGAAGCAGGTACAAGTTCATGTAGACATCGATCTTATGTATAGTGTTATATATGTATTATGCACCAGACGACAACTTGACGGACTTCGTGTTATAGCAACAGAATCAAATTGAACCTTATCGCTATGAAGTTTTAATTCACAACCGTTTGCTCTTTACACATTTTGCCATTTAATTTTCAACCTTATAGGTAAATCAAGGCTATAATCGTCTGCTTAGTATAGAAATCATCACTCATTCCATTTAGGACTTTATCGATAAACACAATACGGTAGAAAATAAATGGACTAGTATCATTTTTAAAGTTTGAAATTGAATTTTAACACTATGATATAGATTGAAATACCGTCCCCCATGGACACCCAGAACACCAGAGGCGTTACCGGCCTTTTGGGGATTGAGATTGGATTGTTGGGGATTCAGAGATTGGGGAGACTGGGAGAGGTAATTGGGGCTCCGGTAACCTCACCCACACGACGAAACACAACGCAAGCATTATTTCACTATGATTTTCCGCTCAGCCGTGGTATCACTCTGATCAAGCCGACCCATTCGTGCCGAAGCATGGCTCTCCGACACCTCTGTCTGATAAAAACAATAATAACCAAGTCTATATTCACCTGTACAGTACAAAGATCATCGCTGGACTCGTCACTGGTAGTGCCAATGAAATCGAACGTGAGACAGTTGTGTGCGAGGCGCAATAGTGCAGCTACTAGCGCGTGTTGCCTCTCGTCAGATAGTTCGGGGGTTTTGCCCCTCATCGTACCGAGGAGGGAACATGATAGACGGAACATTTCGAAGAGCTGTGTGTCTCTGGAAAAACATAGAAAGAGAAATTCAGTTATTCTTTTATATACATAACATAACATCACGCCGTTTTATCCTCGAAGCGGTAGGCAGAGGTGCACATTACAACATTGATAGGTTTTGGGTGAATCTGCAATGAAAAGGTAATTAGGTAATCATTTGTGTAACTATAAAGAAAAAATTATACATTTTGCTTACTGAAGAAGTAATACAGGGTCAAAACGACTGAAGGGATTAGGATGTAATTTGGAATACTTTATTTATCATCATCATCATCATAACATCATGCCTTTTATCCCCGAAGCGGTAAGCAGAGGTGCACATTACGGCACTTAATGACACTGTACAATATAACACTCACTTTCACTATTTATGTTATAAGTCCCATGTAATAGGGGGTAAGTCTATTGCCATATACCGGGCACAATTCCAGACTCCGTGCTACCACTGAGATTTTTTTTCAACCCAGTATTACTTTGCCCGACATGGGAATCCAACCCAAGAATCCTTGCCCGGAAGATTTGCTAGTCGCACACGAGATTTTGCACGGACAAGCCATGGTGTCTGTGTCGAAATCGGCGCTTGAACGCCGTCATGTTTATTTTCGAAGTCGATCCGTGCCATTTTGTGGAAATAAACTATTATAAATTGACCATGACATGAACAATTATAACTCACTTGACATTCTGTACGTTTTAATCCTTTGACATTTCTATAATTTTGTAATATTATTGTGAGCATATAATGTAATTAGAAAAATTGATTGCCTAAAGACTGTATAAATATTTGCACATCTATTTAGGTAATGATACAGTGCACTATATATCCATATGTAACATCTTTTATACCTGTATTATGCAAATAAATGATTTGATTGATTTGATTTGAAATAAATAAGCAGTCGCACTTGCGACCACTCGGCCAACGAGGCAGTGGTTCAGCAAATCGCGCACAAACATACATAGATATGACTGAGATGACTGACTGCCTCGTTGGCCGAGTGGTCGCAATTGGGACTGCCGGGCAAGGGGTCTCGGGTTCGATTCCCGGGTCAGGCAAAATAATAATGAGCTTTTTCAAAAAAAGCTCAGTAATAGCACGGAGTCTGGAATTGTGCCCGGTATATGGCAATAGGCTCACCCCCTATTACATGGGACTCATAACATAAATAGTAAAAAGTGGGTGTTACATTGTACAGTGGCATTAAGTGCCGTAATGTACACCTCTGCCTACCCCTTCGGGCATAAAAGGCGTGATGTTATGTTATGTTACATACATAGATACTTTATTTTTTTTCAAGTCGGTTAAGTAAAACCTAATACTATGTATGTACTAAGAAATATAATTTACCTGAATGAGGAAGCAATCTTCCTGTGTTTGGCTAGGGAACGATTTGCATCGGCTTCAGAGACCTGGTTCATCTCCACCACCAGCTGGGATAGTAGCTGCACGCCGATCGTGCACAGCTCTTGACTCTGGACAAAATAACATACAATTATAATTATTTGTTTAATATAATATTTCAATATTGGCCGACTACGTTACTACTAAAAATAATTTAGGATCAGAATCAGAATATTTATTTGTATACTGTTACTAAATTTTAAGTCGTGCTCAAATATCGTGCCATCTCTGTCATTTTACAAAGAATTTGTAGAGATAGAACTATACTTAAGCACGACTTAAAATTGAGTAGCGTTTCAGTATTCCTACAATAGGTATATACATATTTTTTTTTATAAGGGGGGAAAATCATCGAATGGCTACTCCCGCGTGGGTGAGGCGGGAGGGAGTGTCAAACTCTTACTGACTAAAAACCACCCCGTTCCTACTCCTGTACTTCGAGCCGGAGCCCAATCAGGCCCCATCTGTGGTGGTCTGATGGCTCTTTGAGGCGCGCGCGGAACGCTCGGCGCCGCACGCTCAGGTCTGTTTCTGGTCGGACGGGGAGCCACCCATGCTCGCCGTCCGCAGTCCCGCGCTTACGGTGGCCGGAGATCGTCCCGCGATCCCCGACGCCCGGTGTGTCCTTCGCGATGGCTGGGTCGCGAGGAGGCAGCGCTTCGCTGCCTCACGCGTCCCGCCTCCTCCTTAGCTAGCATGACTACTTCGCAAAAGGAGGAGACGGCATCCCAGTCCCCCTCGCTCCGGATCATGGTTTGCACTAGGCCCGGACGCGAGTGGAAGGTATATACATAATGGTGTTACAAAAAATTAGGTGAATACAATAAAAAAAACGTTGCAGTAGGATTTTCTCATATGTCGTGTGTGCGTGTACAAACATACAAGTTCACATACACATGACACACAGACCCGGAACATCAATCTGTGGATCACACAAAGTGATGTTCCGTGCAGGAATCGAACCCGCCACGCGTCGCAACGTGTTGCGGGGCAGCCAGTTGCTCAGTCACCGCGTCAACCGTGTTTTTTTTTTGGCACAAGTCCGCCACAACCTTCCGAAACCACTGCGACTCCTGTCCACCAGGATCTACAGTAGATACGACCATGTACACACTGGAATGTGTGTGACTGTGGGACTGTATGTGAACTTGTATGTTTGTAAACGCACCCGCGACACAGGAGAAAATCCTAGTGTGGTCCAAGCTACCGGTGGTTAGGGCTCCAGAGACAGAAACCTCCTCACGATACGTGCCGTTTCTAGGAGAACTGCCTTTTGTATCAAGCCCTTGATCCATCCACCTAACGCCAGCCTCCTAAGATGGATGTCGAGGCGTTTAGGGATTAACCCATTGGCGGACGACTATCGGCACAATGATAGCCGAATCCACACTCCACATGTCGACAACCTCGTGAGCTAAGTCTAGATATTTATTATTATTTTCGGCGTAATACTGCGAATAAACATATATCTGTAAGTCCCTAGCACGGTTTCTCGTCAAACAGTTACGTTAGTATGCCGAAAACATAATAATGAATTTTGTATGTCATTTTGCAGCCAGTTGCTCAGTCACCGCGTCAACCGTGTTTTTTTTTTGGCACAAGTCCGCCACAACCTTCCGAAACCACTGCAACTCCTGTCCACCAGGATCTACAGTAGATACGACCATGTACACACTGGAATGTGTGTGACTGTGGGACTGTATGTGAACTTGTATGTTTGTAAACGCACCCGCGACACAGGAGAAAATCCTAGTGTGGAGCGTTTTATAAAAAAAAAATACACTTACCCTGAGAAAATTGGTGATATCATTGATCACGTTGTGGAACACATACTCCTCTTTGATCATGTCGAACCAGCTCAGCTTTGTGATGCGCGCGAAAAGCGATACCAGCGACTGCGGACAGAATGGGAATTAATTAAACATCGGAAAAGAAACTATTCTACAAAAGTAATAAAGTGATTTTTTTGAGAATCGAATACATTTTTAGTGTGGGTGAACCATGCTTCGGCACGAATGGGCCGGCTCGACCGGAGAGATACCACACCCGAGCAGAAAACCATAGTGACACAACTACAGTATTAAGTGTGTTCTGTCGTACGAGTGGGGTTACCGGATGCCCAATTATCACCCCCCCCCCCCCCCACTAAATTATCCTCAAACTCGTAATCCCCAAAAGGCCGGTAACGCACTTGTAACGGTATTCCAGGTGTCCATGGGCGACGCCGATTGCTTACCATCAGGTGATCCGTCAGCTCGTTTACCGGCTTATGCCATTAAAAAATTGGTTTTCTACTCTACATGTAGACAAGCGCTAAATGGCATTTGGCCACAGCTGATTCGTCTGCTCGTTTCATAAAAAAATATCCCTAACTTTACCTGTACTACAAAATTGGCCAGTTTCGGCCTAGTTGCCAAATAATTCAGGACATAATTTCTGATATCCAACCGCTGCTGCGTCGAGAGGCTTGCTGTCGACCTGGAAACATACAAAACCACGATTTAATATCCTATTTACACATATTTAATTAAAATTCTCTACAAATTACATTTTGACGTGACAACGTCTTATAAATTGGTTTGCCGGGTGACACTTCAAGAAACTGCGTTACGCTTCGCTCACGTTATGCGCTCACAATGAGAGCGAGTGAGAGGCACGCGTCCCTTCCACTCGGGCATGGTTAGCCCGCCTAAGAGCGAGAGAGACAGACATAAAAAGTGAAAGACACGCGAATGAATATTCACATTAAAATTATTTTACCACTCAAAGTCGTTGTCACGTAAAACTTTCGCCCGTATACCGACTTTACAAGCAACCAATTTTTTAAATACTACTTAAAAATAAAAAATAATATTTGCAAATATAAAAAATAGGAGCCGACCAGTAGCGGGAGCATGGTCCAAGCTACCGGTGGTTAGGGCTCCAGAGACAGAAACCTCCTCACGATACGTGCCGTTTCTAGGAGAACTGCCTTTTGTATCAAGCCCTTGATCCATCCACCTAACGCCAGCCTCCTAAGATGGATGTCGAGGCGTTTAGGGATTAACCCATTGGCGGACGACTATCGGCACAATGATAGCCGAATCTACACTCCACATGTCGACAACCTCGTGAGCTAAGTCTAAATATTTATTATTATTTTCGGCGTAATACTGCTAATACACATATTATTATCTGTAAGTCCTTAGCACGGTTTCTCGTCAAAAAGTTACGTTAGTACGCCGAAAACATAATAATTAATTTTGTATGTCGCGCGAAAGTAATATAAATCAGTGCTTTGTTTCATGTTGTGTGAAAAGAAAATGTTACTATATCTTTTTTCAATAGAAAAAAATCTCAGTAGTAGCACGGAGTCTGGAATTGTGCCCGGTATATGGCAATAGGCTCACCCCCTATTACATGGGACTCATAACATAAATAGTGAAAATGGGTTTTACATTGTACAGTGGGATTAAGTGCCGTAATGTACACACGGCTACACATCGAGCTTTACATAACCAGTATAAACTGAACGTTAAATGTGCGGAAAGATGATGCGAAGCGACACCAGGATAAACTGGTTTTGTATAGATTGATGTGTGCCCGTGTGTACACCTCTGCCTAACCCTTCAGGAGTAAAAGGCGGATGTTATGTCATTTATTTCTATATTTACCTGCTGATTAGCTTAGCCAGCGTCGTGGCAGCCAATAGTTGTGAATAGCTCGAGTCTGCCCGCTCCAATAGCGCCTGGCATTTGCTCAGTGTGTCCGGTGACTCCTAGAAACAATAAAAAAAACAAAATCTATATATAAAAGAAAGTCGTGTTAGTTACACCACTTATAACTCAAGAACGGCAGAATAGATTTGGCTGAAAATTGGTGGGGAGGTAGCTTAGAGCCAGGAGACCGACATAGGATACTTTTTAACCAACATTTAATTTTTTTACTTTTTACCGAAAATCACGAACGGGGACGGGAAAAAATGGGATTACGCGTACGAAGTCGCGGGCAGAAGCTAGTATTTAACTCGTCGAGTACCGGTTTTATAGACACAATTAAAGAACAATAGGTTGCGGTCACCGGTGACCGCTTGGTGTTTGACAGTTTAATAGGCCTTATAGGACTTTTTTATTTTTTATGTCAAGGACCGGAAAATGAGCAGACAGATAACCTGATGGTAGGTAATTAGCGCTGTCTATGGATAACCGTAACACCACAGGCGTTACAAGTGCGTTTGAAGATTGCGAATTTGGGCCTGCGGTAACCTCACGCCGTGGTACCACTGCCGTGGTACGTGAGGCCGTGGTACGCGAGGCCGTGGTACTCTGAGACTAGGTCAGGATAGGATATTTTGTTTTTGTTGGTTTTTAACCCGTTGAGCGTCCGCATTCCATATGATCCAACGGGTGCACACGTGACATTTGGAGAAAGAGAAAGAAAGAAAATGCATTTATTTGGCCATTGGCACACGAAAACAAGGATCATTACAATAGAAATAAAAAATACAGTCAAAATAAAAACAAAACATTAATAATAGATTTTATAAAAGAGAAAGCAGCATGGAGCATTTTTTCTTATGATCCACCGGGTGCTCATAAGGACGCTCGAGGGGTTAATTTGTTTTTTTTTCTGTTTGTTTTTTTGTTCTTAATATTTATGTCTTTGTGTTTGGTGTATCATGCCTAATGACAAATAAATAATTTGTCTTCTTTCTTTCTCCCACATTAATATTATTATTAAATACCTATAATATTTTTTTCAATTTCAATAAAATTATGGAATGACTATTAGTAAAATATCGTATTCCCTTAATTTTTCGGGTCTCCATTTGCAAATTAATATGCGATGCCAATATTAATTAAAATAAAAAAAAACATAAATAGTTTCCTCACCTGAAACCCAACGACTGCCTTTTCTGCTTGTTCCCTTACGAGCGGGTCCTGCGACTCGTAAAGCTGTTTGCATAGCAGCTCTATTTGTATCACCTCCTGTAGACAAACAAACATACATTCGATTAATAAATATAAAACATTACTGTTACTGAGTAACTGACTGACTGACAGACAACGCACAGCCGAAACTACTACACCTAGGAAGCTGAATTGGGTAGTTTCCAAGGTCTCAAAATTAAAAATCTAATTAGTCCGTCAGTTAAATAATGAAAAAATATTAGACACGTATTTTTTTATTTTAACATATTATGTGGCATTACTTACTTAGATAAAATTGCGCTAAGTTTAGGAGTGGGAGGTCGTTACGTCATAACGTGCCACAAAAAGTGACACGCTGTGACGTCACACAATATTTTAAATAAATATATAGTCGAAAGTATTTCATTTTGCGAAAAAAGAAAAAATACGTGTCTAAAGTTTTAATTTTATGTACCAGACGGACATTAAAATAACATTTAGGAAACTACCCTATTTCAAAAGAAGCTTCAAGGAGCCATCAGACCACGACAGATAAGGCCCAGTAGGGCCGATGAGGATCCGCGGAGAACATAACAGGTTACCGGGTTTCCGGCTCCATGTGCAGGAGTAGGAACGGGGTTGTTTTTAGTAACATTCTAAACCAGTATGTAGATGTACATATAAAATAAAAAGTACCTATGTGGCTAATAATATATTTTCATTATACTAAGCATAATACATCAGACTAATTAGACTTTCAATTTTCTTACCCTGGCAACTACCCTATTGAAAGCGCATTATGTGAACAATTTTAGCTAAGTATTCAAATTATCTTTGTTAGTGATCCTAAATAAGAAAAAAAAGGACCTGAGACTCCTTGCTGACCTACCTACTTCCTATCTGTTTAGTCATACTTGCATCATATAAAAATACTAGCTACTTCCGCGCGGTTTTACACGCTCTGCTCAGCTCCTATTGGTCGTAGCGTGATGTTTTATAGCCTATAGCCATCCCTGATAAATGCGCTATCCAACACAAAAAGAATTATTCAAATCAGACTTGTAGTTACGAAGATTAGCGCGTTCAAACAAATAAACAAAAATTCAAACTCTTCCGCTTTATATAATAGTACCTAAGTACCTATAAAATATAAGTAAGTATAAGATAAATTAACCATAACAATAAATGTATGCAATTTCATCATAATTACAAAAGTTACACATTTTTTTTGAAACCTGACTAATATTATATTTACCTAAAGCACTTTGTTATCTTTAAAACAACAATAAACGACGTCTCGCCTAACCTCCACGGAGCGGAGGACTTAACGGGTTACCAAGGCTCAGGCTCGAAGTACAGGAGTAGGAACTTCGGGACATAACTTAACATCAAGCCTTTTATCCCCGAAGTGGTAGGCAGAGGTGCACATTACGGCACTTAACCTCTTTTCTGCCGGCATATGAGATACAATAGAAAACACATTGTGTCTCACGTACCTATAACTACGCTCCCGGCGTATCATGGCTTAATGCCACTGTACAATGTAACACCCACTTTTCACTATTCATGTTATGAGTCCCATGTAATAGGGCGTGAGCCTATTGCCATATCCCGGGCACTATTCCAGACTACGTGTTACTACTGAGATTTTTTTTATTAACCCAGTAATACTTTGCCCGATCCTGGAATCGAATCCGAGACCCCTTGCCCGGCAGTCGTACTTGCGATCACTGCCGAGTGATCGAGTGATCGTTGGCCGCAACGAGGCAGTCAACTCAAGTCAAGTCAACGAGTCACTTTTTTTGTCTTCTTGTTAAAACAAATTACCTACTATCAGGTTTTAATTATTCATACACAAACTCGGGTTTGATTACCAAGTCGGACAAAGTACGTAAATTGAATATGAATATCTCAAAAACATTTTTTTTCAAGTTGCAATATGGGCGAAATATGGTATTGTATTTACAAAAAAAAATTTGTGAAGTTATTCTATTAAAAACTTATCTATAATAGTACATACAATATAGAGACTAGAAATCTCTAGTAAAGAATACATAGTATGGTGGCTATTACATCTTCAACTTTATCAAATTGTCATAAAGTCGAAAGTCTAACAATAATACTTCAGACAGGTTGGAGAAGCTTAATATACTGGCCGCTGTACAATAAGATATGACAGTGCACAGAGTGCATGCTATCTAAACGCTTCCTCAATTACATACGGTACTGTGCATATTCAGTGTCGATGGCGATTCATTCCCTGACCTGTGTAACAGGACTCATATGTCTCCTTAGAGCAAGCTATATCTTCTGATCTGCTCTTATCCTGAGGAACTTTGTGCCAGAACAATGTTTTCTTTTTTTCTTACTATCAGGCAGTTATTATTAAACTGCCTTTCATTCATAATTTACATCATTTCTCACACTTTTATAATGCATGTCGTGGCAGCCTGTAATTAAGGCTACACTATAGAGTGTTAAAATATTATGTAAAAAACCTATCACGTATTTTGGTGTATGCTTTGTTGGTTGTCCTTAAATAAATAAATAAATAACTGTTGCCTGCAACTTCGTCCGCATGATAATAACTTCTAGAAGAATTTAGGCTTCTGAATTGGTTTACCAAGGGTTATTCTACAGTAATAATTGTCATCAGAATTGATTCCGTACCTAGGCTATATTGATTGTGAAATTACTTGATTTTTGTAGTTTCAAAAAACAACTAATCCAATAAGGTTTAACCCGTACAGGGCTCACCTTGTGAGGAGTCAGTGATTAAAAGTATTCTTTCTCCTTTATTGGGTTGCAAATAAATTTTGTACTGAATATCAATCAATACAGTGATTTAATAAATAGAGTGCTGGAATTTTAACGCATCATTATCTTTTTATGTTTATAACAAGACAGACCTTCATTAAAGACTTTTTACCCACGGGAACGCAGGCAAAGCCGCTGACTAGTTTATAATAATAGTCGTATGAACATATACTTGATCAGTGGATCTGGAAGTCTTTGGTCAATAATAAAATCGTAGGAAAGTGAAAACTGTACATAGAATATTTCTTTTAAATAATGCTTGGGGCGTGATCAACAATCAATATTGTACCTAGAAATATGGCGTTTTGTCTTTATGTATGTCAAGGCCGAAATCAAAAATCGCTGCATGGATTTACTTAAAATTTTGCATGATATTACTAACAGATTGGGTCAACTTACAGGCTACATTAGTATGTAGCCTGTAAGTTGACCCAATCTAATATCTGTGATAATTCACACTATCACATATGGGGGATGAGCCATGAATAACTATTCCATGTGGACGAAGTTACGGGTACAGCTATTTAAATATAATCAACTGTTTATTGGTTAAAATTAAATGATTTGTAATTATAATTGATGAGGCCAAGTTTATTAAAATAGAAAGTTAGGTACATTTTTTATCTCAGATTTTTTAATGTTGATTCATAAACGAATCTAGGTTAACTGTATATTGTGTATAACATAATTAAAAACTGTGTTTCACTTTCAAACTTGAGACCTCAGGTTTGATAATTTGTTTTTACTTGTTATTGTGTTCATTAATTTTGGTTAAATTCTTTATGCATAAAGATTAGGGATTGGTTTGATCCCTACTACATCATAGCTAATAATATTATTAAATAAAAACTAGGAAAAGCGACCTACCTTTAAGAGTCTAACAAGAGCGATGCTACATATCTTAAATTACTAATAAGATTAAAACGAAATTCATCTTTTTAGTGGGACTATTTTATTGTCGTCATTGATATATTTTTGTCCTTCAAATACTAAAACGAAATATTATAAAATAAACACAAATAAATGTGCTAAAGTAATGTTCTACAAACGATCGAGGTTAAATCTTAGAAAATATGAAATTGAGCATTGCAATTTCCGAAACGCACTAGGGGGCCGAATGCGTATCAAACATCAAGATACTTTTGATTACTGTTCAAGGATACGTGTGTAAACATAGCCAAATAACCAAAGTGCCGGCATCATCGTCTAACAGACCACCCGTAAACATTAAACTAACATTATTATAATTGATAAAAAGCCTAGATAACACCACAAAAGAAATATTAACGCACCAAAAACACTTCACAAGCCCAAACATCAAATAATTAAGACGAAATCAATGAAATTTATGGTGGCAACCAAAAAAACTGTTCACTACATTTATTTATAAGGTTTTAAAGTCGAGTTAAACCTAGTATTTATTGTAAATTCATATAAAATCACTTAAAAATCATAATATTTTGGTTCTCACCTGTTCTTCAGCCATCTTTGTTATTTTCTTGCATTTGAAATGACGTTTCGTTACATTGAAGTTGTCTTATAAGAATACGTATTGTAGATCGTACTTTAACGAATCTATTAAAATCACACTGAATTAATTTAAATAAATTTGCCTTAATGAAACGATGTGGAAAATAATGCTGATAGTCGTTTGCAATGTTTCCAAACTATTGCACCATCTTAAAATTTGTAACATAACAAGGTATACTGCGTGCAAAAAGTATAATAAAACGTAGTAACAACAGCACGTTCCCTTGAAAAACTGCGTTCAGTTTTAAATATTTTTGGTTTAGTTCCCAATTTTTTATTCTTAAACGTTTTCAAAAATATTTATAAAAGTATCTTGATTTTTATTAAATTTAATCCATTCTCTCCTACACCTCACAAAAAAATTTCAAACGCGCATTCCTTTGCTTCAACTCTATTGATCAAAGTCAAAACCTTAGAGTACCCAACCATTAAGACATTTCTTTGCTGGGTAAAGCCAAGTATACACTAGGGGACAGATGTTAGGCTCGATGCTATTGCAGCGGTAAGTCCCGTCTTTGAGGAGTGGCTTGAGAGACGCTACGGCGTCCTCACCTACTGCCTGACGCAGGTTCTCACTGGACATGGAAGTTTCGGGAGGTACCTGTGTCTGATGGGGCGGGAGGAAACGTCCGGGTGTCATCACTGCGAGGACCGCCCTGAGGACACAGAGGAACACATTGTGGCGGAATGCCCTGCGTGGGCTGAGCACCGCCGTGCCCTCAGGGAAGTGATCGGCGATGGCGACCTCTCGGGTCCGGGCCTAGTGCAGGTCGGTGGAGAGAGGGGGACTGGGATGCCTCCTTTTGCGAAGCAGTTAAGGAGGAGGCGGGACGCGTGAAGCAGCGAAGCGCTGCCTCCTCGCAACCCAGTCATCGCGAAGGACACACCGGGCGTCGGGGATCGCGGGACGATCTCCGGCCACCGTAAGCGCAGGCCTGCGGATGGCAAGCATGGGTGGCTCCCCGTCCGACCAGAAACAGACCCGAGCGTACGGCACGTCGCGTTCCGCGCGCGCCTCAAAGCCATCTGACTACCACAGATGGGGCCCAACAGGGCCGATGCCGATTCGGAGTCGCGGAGAACCTAACGGGATACCGGGGCTCCGGCTCGACGTGTAGGAGAAGGAACGGGGTGGTTTTTAGTCAGTAAGAGTCTGACATTCCCTCCCGCTTCACCCTGGCGGGAGCAGTCATTCGATGATTTTCCCCCCTTAAAAAAATGGGACAAATGTCCCACGAGATGTAAGTATCGGCGATGATATGTCAATTTCGCCCTACATATTACAATAATGCGACAACGCGCGCCTTATGTCCAGCGACGTTAATGTTGCCAGACATGTCAACCAAAGTCCGGCAACGTCGCGCTACTTCACACAACGTCGCTGGTGACTTATGTCGCAGGACATTGTGTCTTAGTGTATCCTTGGTTTAAGGATGTATGTTTGAATTAAATTGTGGCGACACTAATGTGTTGACATTTTTTATGTGTTCTCAAGTGCGTAGCTGCGCCTGCGACCCTATAGCGTTAGCACGCCAGTCGTCTCCTAGTTTTGGTGTTAACCAGTAATATTTTGTAATATTACAGATTAGTTGTGAATTATGTATTTCTTAGAACAATATAAACACAAAGTTTTACCCACAGAACATATAAAGGAGATGTGGTTTTACCTATTTCATTTTGGACTTTCATTGAACACACGAACTATTCTGGAGTCAAGTGAATTTAAATAAGAATACACACCAAATGATACATAGTCTTTTTATATTCTTCGGCACAAATAATTTAGTTCAACTAGGCTTATACGACGTCCATATAGAAAATAGGCGTGCAACAACGTTTGAGTTATATTTCGCCGTGTGAGTAACTGAGTGAGTTTACGCCTACTACGTAGCTCCTTTGGTGTTATTGGTTATGGGTGGCCATGGACGGCACTGATTATTCTTACCTTTAATTTGCGTATGTATATGACGGTTGCTGCTACTGCTACCCAATGCCCATCCCTTGCGCTGCTGGCCGACAACAGTTTGAAAATGTCTAAGGCCTTAATGTTCCTTATTTAAAGCCCAGTTAAAAACTCTTTTACAGAACAATAAAAAATATCACTGGCAGTAGAAAAGAAGATAAAAATCAAATTGAAGAGCATCGAAATTGTATTAAAAAAACCGAACAAAAGCATTCTTTGTCAAATTTTAATGTAGGTAGCCTTGTCAAGAATTCAGAAAAATGTATTAATATTAATTATTTTCGCTGATTATCATACAAAATTTTATAAATGTAGCTCCATAATGATGTTGCGTACAAATTTTTTATCAAGAATCAAAAAAGTATGCAACACCGCTGCCCTTGTGCCGCGTATCTTACGTGGCAACGAGCAGCGGATCACACCAGGTAAATTTGAAATATAATTATATTATATACAGCTTGGCAAAATAGAGTTTGACACGGTGACAGGTGGAACTAACATACTACTAACTACTTCGGGCTATATTCCATGAATAAACAATCATCCGAATATAGTTCCTCGTCTTTTTAAACTAGATAAAAATAACAAATATCAAAACCGATTGTGTCGTAAATAGTACTCGTAGTGTACCAGGTTGCCACGGGTACGCTACTAGCGACCTCTATTGTTCCAAACTCTTTTTTGCTAACCTGTACCAAACTTCTATTACATTAGCTCTTGCCCTCTTAAATTATACTTATAATTTTTTGTTGTACTCGTGTAAGTTTATGCAAAAAATTGAGAAGATATGTAGAGGTATATTGATAGGTATTGTAACAAACAAACTAAATAGACTAGTCGATAGGGTCTGAAAATTAAATAAACTATTTAGTAGGTACATCCGATATATAACAAAATAAATATTATACACTTTTTTTTATTTTATATGTGTCTAATGTTTTGGACATTAAAATAAATTTTAAGAAACTACCTTGTCGCTTTCGTATATGCTCTCATTGTATTTGGATAACGAATTTTCCCTAATTTTCCATGTTAGGTGACGAATTGGGAACATGTGCCCAGTCAAAGAGAAAAATTGTCAATTTTTTATATTTTTTTTTTATTTCTCATTTTTGTCTACATCTCTGTGCATGCAATGTGTCGAATAAATGTTTTTCTTTCTTTCTTTCTATGATTGGAGAAAAAATATCCTTTCTACATTTGCGCCATCTAGTGACGGCAATTCGTTAGCCCCCATTGTAATACTAACTTACTAGCAATAAATTGATAACAATTTTGGTTTTATAGTCTTAAAATAAAAATGAAAGGTCTCGTATAATATTATACTTTTGTATAATTAATTTATTAAAGTTATTATCATTTTGTTTTGTTGGGTAAGTTATCAAAATGGATAACCGAACCAGAAGGAATATTAATGTTCTGTCTTTTTCAATTTTATGTTTGAATCGCACAATATTTCGCGGTTTTTTGAAAACATAATTACCTATCATGTTTTGTAACTTAGCTATTTTGAAACCGTTTAAAAAGGCGGACGAACGGAGAAAAATGGCGGAAAAAGCCCGCGATGATATTTAAATTATGAAAATTTATATTTCAAAACTAACCATTTACTCATTTCTTGTAACAAACTCACGGCTTTTTTCGCTATTTTTCAGTGTCATGTGCTGCAGTAAAGAAATCACCGAAAAGTACAAAAGCTACAGATGAGGGTACTCATGAAACGATTCAGAAAGACGATGATGATGCCACAGTGATGAAGAAACCCTCACTGGACAAAAATATCGACGTAATTAATGTCACTGAAATTAACGAACCTATCGGACCCTTACTCAATATTCAGAAAGCTCTAAAGGAATCGCAATACCAAAAATGCCAAAGAATTATAGAAAAAACGTTTGGAAAAGAAGAAGCTGGAGAACCAGAACTATCTGAACATTACTTTTCGAAGGGCGTCGACATAGAACAAACGAAGCAAGAAATAAAAAAGTCAGAACAGCTAAATTTAGCAGAAAGCTGGATAACCGACGACCGAACACAGTTTGCATTGTTCAAAACTGCTACTAAATTGGAGGAGGTACCTGATAAACTGACGGAGAAGGAGTCTGTGGTAAAGGAAGAGTCTAAAATCCTTGATGCAGAATTATCAGAAAACAGGAAAACCGACAACAGAATACAGTTTGAAATGACTAAAACGTCTCCTGAATTGGAAGAGGAACCTGAAAAACTGACGGCGCCTGAGTCTATAGTAAAGACTGAGCCGAAAATTATTGATGCTGACTTATCAGAAAACGTAACCGACGAGGGAATGACCGTTGAGAGAACACAGTTTGCCATGTACAAAACGTCGCCGAAATTGGAGGAGGTTCATGAAAAATTGATGGCGAAGGAGGCTATAGTAAAAACGGAGCCGAAAATTATTGATGCTGACTTATCAGAAGACGTAACCGACGAGAGAATGATCGCTGAGAGAACACAGTTTGCCATGTACAAAACGTCGCCGAAATTGGAGGAGGTTCATGAAAAATTTACGGCGAAGGAGGCTATAGTAAATGCGGAGCCGAAAATTATTGATGCTGACTTATCAGAAGACGTAACCGACGAGAGAATGACCGCTGAGAGAACACAGTTTGCAATGTACACAACGTCGCCGAAATTGGAGGAGATACATGAAAAATTGACGGCAAAGGAGGCTATAGTAAATGCGGAGCCGAAAATTATTGATGCAGACTTATCAGAAGACGTAACCGACGAGAGAATGACCGTTGAGAGAACACAGTTTGCAATGTTCAAAACGTCTCCTGAATTAAAGGAAGAACCTGAGAAAGTGTCGGCGCCAGAGTCTGCGGTAAAGGTAGAGCCAAAAATTCTAGATTCAGACTTATCAGAAAATTTGATAACCACCGAGAAAACACAGTTTGAATTGTTCAAAACGTCGTGTAAATTGGAGGAGGTACCTGAAAAACTAATGACGAAGGAGACTGTGGTAAAAGCAG